ACACCTGTCATGTCTCTTGCTGCCACTGGCCATGTGTGGCTCAGGGCACCTGGACAGGAGGCTCTCACCAGTGGCAAATTTGGTTTGGACATAAGCAGCACCCACTCTAAGAGGCACTCTGATGAGCACATGGGTTCTGGTGGTTCACATTCTTCCTACCTGTCCCCCCAGGTAACCTGGAAAGACTCTGGTATAAAGAACACCTTTCTGTCCTATCCTTAACTGGCCACTGAAAAATAAAATGAGTGCCCAGAGGAAACAGGCCATGGCCACCCTGCCAGCACCCTAAGAAGGCACTTTGTGTACCTGGCAAGCGAGCTGCTACGGTCAGGGGGTTGGACAGGGCCATGCCGATCTCCGTCATCCCATACCTCTCCAGCAGAGTGTGGCCTGTGATGTTCTTCCACTTCTCTAGTACAGGCAGGGGCAGAGCAGCTGATCCCGAAACCATCAACCTACCCGGCAAACCAAAGGCAGCCTTAGCTTCTGATGACAACAATCTTCAGTACAATAAAAAAGTCACTATTTTAAGATTCATGATAAAAACCATAGTTGGGGGCTAGAATTTAACTTTGTTCTTTGAAAAGAACTTGCTGGGTATATTTTAGAATGTAAATAGGTCTTCAAAAGGAATGAATAATCAAGGTAAAAGAAAAAAATAATTTTAGGGTCTTTGATGACACTCTGCAAATAATTAACATGCTGTTCACAAACAATCCAAAATAACAGTAATAAGAAGATGATTATGACAGAATTTAGATTATGGGTAAACTGCTACCAAGTCTGAGGGGTAGAGGGGTAGATGAGAGGAGATAGTCCATCGCTAAGGGACGTACAGAGGTTCTACACACTGGATTGTGCTAAAGGGCTCACAATGGTGACAATGACATTTATTTAACATCTGAGAGCTCCTAACTACTCTGGTGTATAGCATGTCATGTAAGCATTATGTGTGGAAAGGAAGAAGTTTTTGGTTCTAGTTCAAGCTAGAGAAGAAACAACTGCTCCGTTTCCTCACAAAGGTGTACAACTCACAAGTACCTCCCCCACCATGAGCCTAAATAGGGGAGGTCTCAGGGCCTCTGTTACCCGGAAATCACCCTAGTTTCCCCTCTCTGGTATCATTTCTGCCATGGGTTCTACAGGGTTGGGTGCTCCTAATCCTGCTTTTGTATTGGTGGCTGAGCAATGGACACCTCCATCAATAGCTGCCGAACCCCACAATGGCTTGTGAGAGGGTGGGCCATTAGGTGACGGGTAGCAGGCAACATCAGACACGAGCTGTAGTTCCACAAAAACATCTTTATAGAAGAGCAAAGGAACGGTGGGAGCAAAATCATAACATTATCAAATATTTGTCTTGGGTAATCCAGAATTCTCTTAGGGAAACAAAGCTGCCCTTCCTTTGTTCTTAAGGACTAGGAATTAGATGCATAGAGCGGCCCAGAAACACACACACAAATACATTGGAATTTAAAATTCATGTTTGCCTAGTAGCTCACACACTGTGGTGTTGAGAGGTTGTGCACACCACAGACATAGCTTGTCGTGTCTGTCTGCAACATGTGTCTATTGGGTCTGTGAAAACCCACCAAGCTGCCCATTCAGGTGCGCACTCAGTGGGTCCCTTTTCAGTGCAACAGGGAGAAGAGCCTCCCATGTCCACCAGCTCCTAAGAGAGTGCAGAGCACACTTCTTGCCACTGAAGGACGCAAAAGTGTTGGTGTACCTCTGTCAGGAGCGGTGTGATGGGGCCCCAGCAGGGAGAGTTTCAAAGGGCCACAGACTGTTGGAGGGAAATAATACAGCAGGAGCTGGGAGGCATGCAAATGTGGGTCAGAAAGGATGAGAACAAGATGATCTGTCCTAATCCTCGTCCTTCAAACTCTGCCACAAGACAGACAGACAGACAGACAGACAGACAAAGATGGATAGAATACAGATAGAGATAGACATGTAGATAGACCTACAGAAGGATAGGATAGACATAGATATAGAATACACACAGATATATAGAGAATGTAGATTTAAATATGTAGATGTATATTTTAAACAAAGTGGAAAACACTGCTTCCTAAAACTCAGCAGAACTGATTTGTTAGAAATAAGTTTTATTTGCTGATATATAATACTTTCTGGATGGGAAGATGAACTGTTTTCATTTACCTGATCTTTTCTTCACAAACGGCACGTACGAAATCCTGGACATGCGGTTGGGTAAAATGCTTGTCATAATAATCCATCAATTTGGTGTATATTGTAGGAACTGCCATAAACACATTAATCCGTGGAGTTTCAGAACTTAAGAACTTTTCCCAAACCTAAAAAGAAAAAAGGAAACACATAGCAAAAAGATTAGAAAACATGCCAAATGTGTGAATGCCTGGAACAGTGTTCTAAACGGAGGGCTCTCTTTTTCTGAAGCGTTAAAGGATCTGTAAGTAGCTCCCACCTAAAAGGGCATCTCACTGTTATGGATGACAATGCCTCTGGCCATTCCCATAGAAATGGCCCGGTGCCAGGGACACTAGTATCTGGTCTTCAGAGTGACCTGTAAGGAGGGAGAGGGTTGAGAGAGAAGTGCAGAGAGAGATAAGGTTCCAGCCTTGATCTGCCATCAGGAGATATGTGGCACCTGACACCTCAGACTCTTCCAAGTGGCCACCAGTGAGCCTGAGAGTCAGCACAGGACCTGGCACAGATGAGCATGTGACAGATGTTGAACGGATGACATCTTCTGTTTATTGGGAAAGTCAAGTGAATTTTGTAGTTTACTCTGCAATAAATGTTTCTTGTTTTAATATAAAGATGCTTCAAGTTTCTCACCAGATGAAGTGCTTGTGTGTTACCCCTACTCTCTAAGAAAAGCTGGCGTGCCCTGCCAGGTGGCTCAGTTGGTTGAAGTACTGTCCCATACAACACAAGGTGGCAGGTTCAATTCCCAGTCAGGGCATATGTACCTAAATTGCAAGTTCAATCCTTAGTCGGGGCGTGCACAATAAAAACATATCCTCAGGTGAGGATAAAAAGAAGAAAAAAAGAAAAGACGGCATGTTACGCTCACTCTGTGGTTCTCTCACCGCAGCATCGCTGTGCAAGCCCATGGTCAGGATGGACAGCAGAGAGTTCCTGGTGCTGGGAGCCCAGCAGACTGACCGCAGACAGAGCTCTCCCCTAAGGCATTTGAAACCTAGGATAAATGGAAACTAATGCTGCAGTCCACCCCCAACCATCCCAATTCCTGACTGGATGTCAGTATTAGCTCCTCAACTTAGCTGCAGACAGAGGAAAAGAACAGTCCGCTGGGGGAAAAAAGAAATTCTTTTAAAGACAATGACTGGCATCCCTCCAAATTATTAAAGCAGGTAAGGAAAGAGAGAAATGTGACCCATGATCAAGGGGAGGTGGTGGTGGTGGGGGGGAGTCAATAGAAGCAGACTCTCAGAAGATCTAAATGTTGGAATTATCTGACAAGAAAATTTTAAAATAATTACAATAAATAGGCTAATGAATTTAGAAGAAAAGATGAACAAAACGAGGAATAATCAAGGATTTCATCAGAGAAGTAGAACTGCAAAAAAGAACCATTATAATATTGGAAAATATATTATCTGAAATTAAGAATTCATCAGATAGACTTAACAGACTAGATTCAGCAGAAGATAAAAGAAGTGAAATATGAGTGAATGGAAATGAAATATAGACAACAAAGAAAACTGAACTAAACTGAAATATAGACAACAAAGAAAAGAAAAAAAATAGAGTGTGAGCAATGTGTGGGACAACATGAAACAGTCTAACAGACTGTAACTATAGTCCTAGAAGAGGAAAAGGGAGAAGAACTAAATAAATGGAGAGATACTCCATGTCTATGGATCAGAAGACTCAATATTGCTAAGATGGCAATTCTCCCCAAATTGAGCTACAGCTTCAACACATTTCTCCCCCAAACCCTAGCAAGCCGTTTGCAGAAATTGACAAACTGACTCTACAATTTACATGGATATGCAAAGGTGCCAGAGGAGTTAAAACAAATGTGGAAAGGAAGAATAAAGGTGGAGGACTCCCACTTCCCACGCCAAAACTTACTTTAAAGCAACAGTGATCAACGCAGTGTGATGCTGGAATAAGGTTGGACACAAAGATCAATGGAACAGACAAGGGTTCAGAAATAAACCAATACATTGATGGCCAATTGATTTTTGACAAAGAAGCCAAGTCACTTCAATGAGAGAAAGAAAAATGATAAATAGATGTCATCAAATTAAAAAACATGTATGTTTAAAAAATATCATTAAAAAATAAAAAGACAAGCCATATTGGGAGAAAATATGTGCAAACCATACATTTGATAAAGGACTTGTGTCCAGAATCTGTAAAGAACACTTATGAATCAAAAGAAGTCAGAAAAAAAAGTAAAATGGGCCAAATATTTGAATATACAGTTCACCAAAGACATATGGATGCAAATAAGACCATGAAAAATGCTCAACATCATTAGTCATTAGGGAAATACAAAATAAAACTACAATGAGATACTTTATATCCGCTATAATAATAGTTAAAAACAAACAAACAAGTGTTGGTGAGGATGTGGAGAAAATGTGCCGCTCATACACTGCTGGCACAAATGTAAACAATACAGCACTTCTGTATTGTTTGGCAGTTTCTTAAAACATTAAACATAACTTTACCACACAACGCAGCAATTCTGTCCCTGAAACGAAAACATGCCCACACAAGAATTTGTATGCACGTGTTCACAGCAGCAATATATTCTAAATAAACAAAAACTGGAAGCAACCCAAATGGCCATCAAATGGTAAATGGGTGAACAAAATGCAGGACAGCCATACATGTGATGCTATTCAGGAACAAAAGGAACAAACTACTGACACACATGACAGCATTTCCCATTCAGTAAACACCAGTGAGTTAACAGCTCTAGGTAGTAAGCATCACAAAATGAGAGACAACCAGGCAAATCTGTCCCTGCTGGAGGGACACTAACACCACCTCTCAAGTCTTCTCACCAAAACAAAACCAAATAAACAAAACCAAACCCCAAATCTTATCATGCCTCTAGATCAAATTACCAATTTTCAGAAAATACAGGGGATGGGGACACATATTAAATGACACCACAGGGATGCAATACACAAAACCAGACTGTGGGAAACTATAGGACACGCAAGCCTGATTTCTTAAGCAAACAAAAACTGCAAGGAAAAGACGAGGGGAAACCTGCATGTGAAGCAACAGAAGAAGCTTATACCAACCAAGCTCAAGGCAGAAATTATTCAGATCTAATTCAAACAAACTTAAGAAATGAGGGGCCCTAGCCAGTTTGGCTCAGTGGACAGAGCGTTTGCCTGCAGACTGAAGGGTCCTGGGTTTGATTTCGGTCAAAGGCATGTACCTCGGTTGCAGGCTCCTGGCCCTAGTGGGGGCATGTGGGAGGCAACCAATTGATGTGTCTCTCTCACATTGGTGTTTCCCTCTGTCTCTCCCTCTCCATTCTACTCTCTCTAAAAATTAGTGGGAAAAAAAACATCCTTGGGTGAGGATTAAAAAGAAAAGAAAGAAATGAGGAAACATTGATAGTGATAGTATTGATGGTAATATGTGATATTAAGGGATTCTTGCTCATTACCTCATTGTGTCCTTAATGAGAAAAAATGCCCCTACCTTTTTTTTTTCATTAAATAATTATTTTTATTTTTAAAATCTCTCCACAAAGAAGTTATGAAAATACCCGTCAATACATTGAAAAGACACTTTAAAATCCTGGGATGAAAAATTCTAAATATGTTACATCTTCTGTGATTTACAAATAATAAAATTCTGTAAGACAGAATTTCTGAATGATTTTGATAGAAATTTACTAAGAAGAACTAGAACATTAAACTTTAAAAGATATTCAATTTCCACCCCAACTGAGTTTTTGAGAAGTTACATTTGTTGACAGTCACCACATACTGACTCTACAGCCCAATGGCCTGACATTGGTACATGGCTCAGTACCAATGTCAGGCTACTGGAATGCCCCTACCTTTTAGAGAGGCTAAAATGATCTGATATCTGGGATTCGTTTACAAACAATCCTAAGTTAGGAAAAGATGTTTCTAGATGAACCTAGAATGACTCTGAATTAATCACTGTTGAAGCTGGGCAATGGTATATGGGTATTCATTTCTCTTGTAGATGTCTGAAACATTATACAATATAACAAGTTTTAAGACTACAATGAAAGAGGGGTTAGATTTGGTTATCTCTCTAAGGGCCCCTAATACTCATCTACACTAATAAAAGAGAAAAATGGTAATTGGCGTACGACCGCTACCCTTCCCATTGGCTAATCAGCGTATCCTTAATCAGGAGTGAGTATGCAAATAAACCCAAACAAGATGGCGGCGGCCACGGAACTGGAGAGAACAGGAGACTTGGGTTGCCCCTGGCAATGGAGGAAGCCAAGATTCCCGCCTGCCCTGGTTGGCTGTGGGCTCCGCTCAAGGCTACAAAGTTTCAATTATAGAAGATAAATAAACCCCAGATACCTGCTTCCAGCCGCTGTGGCCTCCGCTCAAAGAGAGTCTGGGAGCCTGGGTTGCCTGGGGCAGTGGCCAGCCTGCAAACAGCCATCAGCTCCTCACCCAGGCTGGCCAGGTACCCCAGTGGGGACCCCACCCTGAAGGGGGTGTGGCTAGCTTGAAAACAGCCCTCAGCCCTTCACCCAGGCTGGACCCTCACCCCATGGGGGTGTGGCCGGCCTGCAAACCACCACAGGCCCCTCGCCCAGGCCGCCCCATGCCCCAAGGGAACCCCCACCCTGATTCGGGACACCCTTCAGGGCAAGACAGCCGGCCCCCTCCCGTGCACCAGGCCTCTATCTATACTAATAAAAGGGTAATATGCTAATTAGACTTGGAGACCTTCCGGACATTCTTCTGGACAAAGCCATGGTGGTGGGGCCGAGGTAGAGGCGGTTAGAGGCCAAGAGGGGAGGGCAGTTGTGGGTGATCAGGCTGGTGAGGGGCAGGGCTGTTGGGGGTAAGCAGACCAGCAGGCCCGCCAGTGGGGCGCAAGCAGGCCATCAGTGGGGGTCAGTTGGAGGTGATCAG